TTTTAGTGAGGGCATGTGTCTTTCAAAAAACGATTTTCCGACCATTTTTTCTCAAAATTTTGAACCGAATACAGCCTGGGAAAACAACTGGGGAAATAGAGTTCATCTTTTTTGGAAAAAAGGTAAGATTAACAGAATGAGCCAGTGAGCTACCTCGCCCATGTAATATTCAAGGTTTATCACGACAGGGGGCACCGAGATACATACTTTCGGAACTGAACCCGCTTCTTAGGCGTGCAAGCAAATGATTTAACCACATGGCTACCATACGGCAAATGGACAGGGATTCTTAATGAACGAAGGATGAACATTTTTTAAGGGGTTGTGTGGAAGAAAATAGACCTTGGTTTTAAGGCGCTGCTTGGATCATACCGACCTGGGTTTGGAGGCACTACGTGGATCATATAAACCTGGTTTTAAAGCACTACGTGGAGCATGTAAACTTAGGTTTTAAGGCACTACATGGATCATATAAAACTCGGTTTTAAGGCACTACGTGGATCATGTAAGCCTGGGTTTTATTGCAATACGTGGATCATGTAAACCTCGGTTTTAAGGCACTACGTGGATCATGTAAACCTGGTTTTAAGACACTACGTGGTTCATGTAAACCTGGTTTTAATACAATACGTGGATCATGTAAACCTGGGTTTTAAGGCACTACATGGATCATATAAACCTGGGTTTTAAGGTACTACGTGGATCATGTAAACCTGAGGTTTAAGGAGCTGCTTGGATCATACAATCCTGGGTTTGGAGGCATTACGTGGATCATATAAACCTGGGTTTTAAGGTACTACGTGGATCATATAAACCTGGTTTTAAGGCACTACGTGGATCATATAAACCTTGTTTTAAGACAATACGTGGATCATGTAAACCTAGGTTTTAAGGCACTACGTGGATCATACAAACCTGGCTTTTAAGGCACTACGTGGATCATATAAACCTGGTTCTAAGGCACTACGTGGGTCATGTAAACCTGGTTTTAAGACACTACGTGGTTCATGTAAACCTGGTTTTAATACAATACGTGGATCATGTAAACCTGGGTTTTAAGGCACTACATGGATCATATAAACCTGTGTTTTAAGGTACTACGTGGATCATGTAAACCTGAGTTTTAAGGAGCTGCTTGGATCATACAATCCTGGGTTTGGAGGCACTACGTGGATCATATAAAACTGAGTTTTAAGGCACAACGAAGATCATATAGACCTGGGTTTTAAGGCACTACGAAGATCATATAGACCTGGGTTTTAAGGCACTACGTGGATCATATACACCTGGGTTTTAAGGCACCACGTGGATCATATAAACCTGGGTTTTAAGGTACTACGTGGATCATATAAACCTGGTTTTAAGGCACTACATAGATCGTATAAACCTTGTTTTAAGACAATACGTGGATCATGTAAACCTGGGTTTTAAGGCACTACGTGGATCATATAAACCTGGGTTTTAAGGCACTACGTGGATCATATAAACCTGGTTCTAAGGCACTACGTGGATCATGTAAACCTGGGTTTGAAGGCACTACATGGATCATATATACCTGGGTTTTAAGGCACTACATTGATCATATAAAACTGAGTTTTAAGGCACAACGAAGATCATATAGACCTCGGTTTTAAGGCACTACGACGATCATATAGACCTGGGTTTTAAGGCACTACGAAGATCATATAAATCTGGGTTTTAAGGCACTACGTTGACCATAGAAACCTAGGGTTAAAGGCTCTACGAAGATCATATAGACCTGGGTTTTAAGGCACTACGTGGATCATATAAACCTAGGTTTGAAGGCACTCCTAAGATCATACAGACCTGGATTTTAAGGCATTACGTGGATCATATAGACCTGGTTTTTAAGGCACTACGAAGATCATATAGGCCTTGGTTTTAAGGCACTACATAGATCATATAGACCTGGACTTTAAGGCTACGCTGGTCATAGACACCTGGTTTTAAGGCACTACACTGATCACAGACACCTGGTTTTAAAGCACTGGATGGACCTTGGCCTTGCAGATCACCGTTGGAAACATGCGTAAACAATGTTACATGGCAGCAGGTGTACTGATCCACCACTACGTAGACAAGTGCATCAGCACGGAGTAGACGATGGGATGGATTCTGCCCGTGGTGAGATGCTCACATGGAGAGCTATGCTAGATGGCATGCAGTATGATTACAGAGAGTATACATTTTATACAAATTATCTCAGCAAGATAGCTGCCGTTTAATATCCGCGAGGTCGGGGCTTACGTCATGTGATATTTCCAGAGATAATATAGACGGATACATGTGCAGGAGTTATCACTGACGTAACCTTAACCACCGGCCTGTTGACGTCTTATTACACAGCTGATGTCTGGAGACCTGAGCATGGAGCGGGGTTTTTAGGGGCTGTATTGTTAAGGGACTACCGGTCCATATATTTGTGTATTACTAAGGAGTTGCGTTGTCCATATATTTAGGTATTATTAAGGAACTGCGTGGTCAATATAAGTAGGTATTATTAAGGAACTGCGTGGTCCATATATGTGTGTATTACTAAGGAACTACCGGTCCATATATTTGTGTATTACTAAGGAGTTGCGTTGTCCATATATTTAGGTATTATTAAGGAACTGCGTGGTCAATATATTTATGCATCATTAAGGAACTGCGTGGTCCATAAATGTGTGTATTATTTAGGAGTTACGTGGTCCATACATATATTTAGGTATTTAAGGAGCCGCGTGGTCCATATATTTATGCATGGAATTCCAATTGTCTGGATCTATGCTCATGTTGTCAATCACTGGATTGTCTGGATCAGACTCGATTATTTAGCTGAAATATTGCTGAGTGCGGCGTTAAACAACAAACAAACATATATTTATGTGTTACTAGTATTAAGGACAGACGTGGCTGACATACGAGACATGTTTTTTAGGACCTGCTTGGATCATATAGATCAGAGACCATCACCTTAAGTAATATATTGTTTCTCATCAACGACCAACCCTAACATTGGGTGTTTTTTTTACAGTTGGGGTTTCGCTCCGCATTCTTTTACGATATTGTACTGTTTGACGTACCAGCCTTATACTATTATATCACGGTGTTCATTTAATACATTGTGAAATATAGAAATGAAATACGAATTTGACACACCGCCCGGCTTTAAAACAGAAAGGTTGTGAGACACAAGTCATAACCATATATCATATACACACACTGATGTGTTTGCGTACATTCATTACCTGGAAGTTAATGAGAGCTGCGTAACCATGAAGGTGTCGGCAGACAGGATCAGATCGGCCTGGTGGGCTCAACCTGGGAGATACGGCTGATAGCGACGAGCAGCCTTATCAGGCAAAGTCTAGGGAACAGATGGTTCCAGTGATAGTCGCAACCGAAACAATTAACCCCTGCCGAGAACCACGTGTGGAGGTAAACACACCTCAACATCACTTCGTTCCCAACCTGTCTGGGATGCCAGCAGTGCAGTGGATGCTGCCCCTGTGCAATTTGCAGAAAATGTACCCATCTAGAAGGATCTTTATTCTTGTTTTGTAGTAGAACTGTCAGCAGGTTCATACTGCGTTGTCAGCAGGCCTCATTCACTGCTTGACACAAGGCAGTGCCATATATATTAACAAACATATCTGCTGCCTAGCCAGTTCAAGAGGAACTGTTTGCACCACAAACATATTGTATTCGCTTGAACAATCTGGTCAAAACTGACCTGCTGTCTACTTGACCATGACAGGTTCTGGCTGTAAACAGGACAGAGGTATGTGATGATCGAGCGAAGGCATGGTTAGATTACGTGATTTTAACATACTTTCTGCGATTTAAGGTAACATGCCAAGTAGAGGTTGATAAAGTTGAGGCATTCGTGACAACTCGTGACCACTCGTGACATTTCGGGATAAGCTCTTCTTGCAGTTACGGAAAGGGACGAGTGGTGACCGTGACCCTACAGAATCTCTTTATTTTCAGAAATGTTTCTGTTTTACGCCGCACTCTGCACTATTCCAGCTGTGTGACGACAGTCGGTAAACAATCGAGTCTGGAGCAGACAATCCAGTGACTGACATCATGAGCATTGCGTGGAGTTAATGGAGTTAATGGAGACTGAATGTTAGTCGAAGTAATGCTTGATAATGATAAGTAACAAGTCTCCATTCCTCATATCTCCTAGCACAATATGTCTGTCGCTAATGAGAGCAATTTGATTGGCTAAATACGAAGCTATAGTAGTGGAAGCATGCAAGGTATTTATCAAGATGTATGGAGTTAATATACCCTGGAGAACCGAGGATGGAGCATCCATCACCAAACAACCTGAGCACAGACATATTATATAGCTGGAATATTGTAGAGTGCGGCGTTAAACAACAAACAAACATCATTTGTTCTACCACAACCATGGTTTCCCAGCGTTCGTCATGCCACCTACCCAGAGAATATTTGAATATTTGCTGACAATGTTCAACGAGACATGGCTGCAATTTCGTGTGTATCAGTATGATAATAGTCCAATATTATTCCCAGTCACAGACAGGCAGTCACTGACCGATAATATATCAGCATCAGATGGACTTCTGTTTGTCTTCGTGGATTAGCATGATTAGTATCACGTGACAATCAAAAGGTCATTTGTTGGTTTTCACGAGAACCCAGACGCTCACGTGCCTATAGATAGATGACGTGAAACAGACATATCAAGTTGATCCCATTGCATTCTTGCCTATATATAAACATAAAATATATATCAATATCCTAGCTACTTAATGAATATATATATGACACAGTTTGTTGATCGACCTATACAGTCTACTGGTATACTAGACCACAAGAGTCAACGCCCAACCAAAGATGTGGCGTCCAGCCAGTCAACAATCAGCCAACGAATAGCGGATACAGTAAACACGAGTTTGACACCAGCGTTTACTTTGACCTGATGTCCGATGGGAGATTCAATGAGTAGTTCTAAATCCACTTACTTTTCGAAGTAGCCTGTTGATTATAAGTCGACGATCTTGAAACGGGGCAGGCGTGGAGCTAAATGGGTTAGCTCGTAATGGCAAGCGTAGGGGATTCCTTGCTCCAGCCAAGCTTCCTAATAATAAATCACCAGCTACGCCGACTCGCCCGAGTGAAGCGAATGTCCGAAGCGATATGAGGCACAGTTGGTGCGAGTCTGTTAAAGAAGGCGCGTGCCTTTGATGCCCTCTGAACTGTCTTTTCAAAGAGCTGACGTAGAAATAGTTTTTGAGCAGCTACCGGAATGACCCGAAAGCATATATCCTACCGTGAGTCAAGCGGCAAACATTATGACAGGCAGGCGTCTCACCACACGAAACCCGAGCCTGTTTTCTCCACTCTGCCCCAACTCTAGTGTTTCGGCGGGGAACACGCATATTGATTCTTGTGTCCGAACGCGCACTGACTGGGGCTGCTGGGTTACATGAGATGAGGGTCCCAGTCACAACTGATGGGTGGATTACATGAACATATTTATGAGGTTAGCAGAGATGGGTTACCGATGCCAGACATGATACACTGACATCGCACTTTGTTCTACTCAGACAGTAAACGTTCCCCCAGGCAGTAGACGTTATTTTAAGTCTTTATCTGGCTTTTTTATTGCGAGAAAAAAGTTAGACTTTCTTATTCATGATAATGTAACTGGGAGGTAACTGTGTTTTCTACAAGATCGTTAGACTTACATTAAGTCCCAGAAATAAAGTTTCTCATTTAAAGATATATGATTGATTTGGAAAGTCTAGACTGCCACAACTGTAGGAAATTAAAGATGAGGGCTCAATTTGAATTTTGATTTTATTTTGTGGATAAAATCAAAATTCAAATTGAGCCCTGAACTTTCATTTCCTACAGTTGTGGCAGTCTAGATTTTCGAAATCATTCAGACTCTTTCAATATATATATCATCTAGGGTCTGGATCTATTATCTGGGAGAGACTACAAGATCGTCGATATGACTTATCTAGGTTCCCAGATCCTTGATTCGAGCCTTGTCATAACAACGTGATGTATGACACGTGTTTATGTTGACTAATCAATGGGTTATTTACGGCACGGGGGACTTTTGTGACGGATTGTGATACAGATAAATATATAAACATATCAGTTTTTGTTGCCGTGATTTACGTTAAATGATAGCCGAAGCACTGTTAAATGTATTTAACATTCTTACATATACTAACGGAAAGAAGTAAAGGTGCTTCATATAAAGTGGTTTAAATGTTATGTTATTGAAAATAGTTGGTCATTCGTGTGACCAATGTTAATCATAACAAGTTCATTGACAAAAGCAATACCTAAAGTAGGCGTGGTGTAAATACTCAATTAACAATGTCAATGTGGAGTGTGACCACCTTTTGCGTTGATACAGGCCAGACAGGGGCGGTGCATTAAAGATACCAAATGATTGAAAACTGGTGGAATTTGTTCCAAATGTCAACCAAACATTAGCCCAACTGAGCTAGCGTTAGTGGCTGGTTCTGATCCCGTGGTAGGCGTCGTGCTATCTCAGCCCAGAATTGGTCTATGGCGAAGAGGTCTAGGAACAGCCGACCATGGTACAGCAATGTTATGCTGCCTCAAATAGTCCGTGCAACACGTGCAATTCGTGGGCGGGCATTATCCTACTGCAACAAAACGTTACGTCCCTGTTTTTCGCACAAAGGTTAGAACATGATCTCGACCGATGTCGCCCCGGTAGAGTACGCCATTCAAATTAACAATGGTGAGTTGTGATGCCACCCAATACCATTACACTTCCATTTCAAAACAGACGACTCTTGCAAGACCCCCAGAGCTGTCCAGATAAAACCTGGGCTCGTATGTTGACAAGATTCTGTCCCAGTCTTGTCACCGGCACCTCAGATGCTGTCTACACCGAGCTAGGCGTGCCTAACGGAGACGTGGATGCAACATTGGGCGTATTGATGGCCAATAATTGGCCCAACCCAGATTTGTCTAAGCTGTTAATGAGGCAGTTTGGTATTGATTCCGTAGATGCACCAACCGAATGTGGTTGTCTTGTTGACGTGACGTCACACGTGGACGACAGGCCCGTGGCAAGTCAAGAGTGTTGCCCTGCTGCAGATGTCCCCAGAGAGACAATTGTGTTTCGATGAGTCGAAGACAGAATGCACCATGCACCCTCAACCCAGCTTCTCCGTGACGTCACATGGAGTGAGTGAGTGATTATGGTTTTACGCCGCTTCCAGCAATTTCACGCAATTATCACACATTGTACCTATGTTGGGATTCGAGCCCGGGTCTTCGGCATGACGAGCGAACGCTTTATCCACAAGGCTACCCTACCGCCTCCACAGATAATAAATAAGTATCGCTCCTGCCGCAGGTAATATAGTAACCCTATCAAACTCAACAACCATAACAAAAACTGAAAGAGAAATTTGGAAAACAAACAAAGTCTGAAAAGGAAGATAAAGACAACACAAAGATGTCTCCCCCATTTTCCGGAGGCACGGGTGTTACCTAACTACAAAAGTCCAGTATCCACCCTTGCCAAACGACGCTGGTATTTCGTGGCTCGATCGTAGCACGGCCAGTGCCTATTACGAGTAATGTTCCGCCCATGTCCCTCCTACTAACCAATGAAATTCAATATCTCGTATCACGTGCATCTGCTTCAAACAAAATGGCGGCGCCAGTCAAGACGATCTGATCGATAATCAAGAGCTATACTGTAATAAGACGGTTCTTGTAATAAGACAAATCACTTGAGCACCTTGATTATAAAGAAGAAAAGATTTGAAAAATATACCTAGTTGACGGTAGTAGCTAGGTTACCACTCTAGCCCACTGTTACGTAACCACCACCCCGTACCTCCAGCCTACTATTACGTAACCACCACCCCGCCCACTATTACGTAACCACCACCCCGTACATCACCCTCATTAAAAAGGCCATTTATCAAACTGTCACATGCTGATTTTGTTATCCTTTAATCTCCACTAAGCCATAAACATGGTATTTATTAACATAAACCCACCAATGCATGTTGACCTAGTAGCTATTAACAGCAGGTATACCACCACTAATCCATAAACATGGTATTTATTAACAAAAAACCCATCGAGGCATTTTGATCTAGTAGCTATTATCAGTAGGTTTACCACGTAAGCGTCATTCTCCAAACACATATGGTGATTATGTACTTACATCCAGGGTCATGATTCCCAGTCTCCCACAGTTTAACAGTGGACGCGGGTAATGTAATTGCCTGCGACCTTTCCCTCCCTCACATCTTGTCAGTAGGACCAAGTTTAACTCAGTGAAAAATTATAGGGTCGTATTCTATGCAACCACACAGCGTAAAAGGTAAATTGCATAAAACCACATCTAAACAACCTATTTAAATCAATACCGGTCTATGTCCAAATACTGCCCAGCCTGCTATCACACAATGCAATCTACAGCAATCTGCTTCCTCAACCGCACTGCCATGTACCCAGTCGCGCACAGAATCCTATGCTATCTGGCTGTAGAGGTTTATAGCAACTGGGAGCTTTTTAGACACCTCTACTTCCATCTGAACCAATTCAACATCGGAATATTGAAGCTGCATGTGGATTTTGAATTACTAGAACGCATCTACATCAGGAATGAAGAAAAGAAGGAACGGTAAGTGCCAACACACCTTATTGCATCTTGTAATATTATTTAGCATATTATCAAGAGCGCCACTTGTGTGCTTTATAATGTGTATGCTGATCAATGTTAAAACACCGCTTCTTTTCGTTGCAGCTTTATAATAACGTATATGATGATCAATGTTTAAACACGGCTTCTTTTCGTTGCAGCCGAAGAACCACCACGGGAGATTTTTTGCTCAGCCTTCAGCTACCGGTACAAAAAATGGTGTGTGATCACACACCCCTCAAATTAAGCCGTCACAACACCACACAGCTTCCCACGATATACGAAGATGAGGGGCACACACTGCCGGGGAGAGCCGGCAACATGCATTCGGGGATGTTCCATCAACAGAAAAGGAATGCGTATTTCCGGCCCTGCTAAATGTTTATATTTATGCATTAAATAATGTAGCTTACAAACCGTTTTAGAGTTATTATTTAATTCATTACAAATAGGGTGGCCTGTTTCAGCCTTAGTAACCGCTGTATCATTAGTATTTTACCCTCATCAAGAGCATGTCCACAAACTTCATGGCAAAATGGTGTCAAGCTTTCAAAATACAAAACCCCGCGTCAAAATCACAAAGGTTTGCTTGCTTGCTTGCTCATTTCACGCTGTACTCATCAATACCGCTCCTATATGGCTTGGGTGCATGCATGTAGCACCCTACACATGTGTAGTGTATATAATACACTTTGCAAGTAACAAAAAAGAAATACTCCACAATTAAATAAGTACACAAAACAATATATGTCTGAGAAATTTTATTATATTAAGAAGCAGCAAAACACTCCAGCTACCCTTCTTCTTCCGACTCAGTGGTGTAGTTACAAATATGGCAAAGTTTTACATCTTCTGCCGATTGGTGGTCTTCATCACAATACCGGTTTAAACGCCGGTAATTCAGCTCCCGGCGGGCAGATGAAGGTTCCACGTCGTCATCTTCAATTATTATTAAATCCCCGCCATCATCACTGTCGCTGCTATCACGTATGACACCCCGGCGTTTCTTTACCAGGGTCACTAGGGCTGACGGGCGTTTTCTTTTGGAGGGGCGGGGTGGGGGCACGGCCGGGGTGCCTTGCATCTTCGTAGGCGTTACGGTGTCAGCTGCAGCAACAGCTGGGGCGTCTTCTTCCTCCTTCAGGGGCGTTGTAGGGGCTGCCTCATTTCCACCCTTCTGGGACGTCTCGGGCTTTTCTGCAGCCTTTACCCGCTTTGGGCAATAACGGGCCTGATGGCCTTGCATCACTACCTTACACCACCTACACGGTAGTACACACCCGGCAGCAAAATGCCCCATATTGCCGCATTTGTAGCAGTCATAAGCCGCTAAATGGGGTGGTGGGTCCCCACGTTTCTGCCGGGCTATGCGCATGGGGCATGTGTATGAGGTGTGTTCGGTGCTACCACACCCTCGCTCTCCGCACGGTTTCGTACACTCCCCAGCTGTGTGCCCCATCTCTTTACAGTTGTAGCACTTGATGTTGCTACCGCTCACAGGTTTAGTGGTGCCATCATTCATGCACCTTGGTGCAGCGTGTCCTGCTTTCCCACAGGTGCTGCAGGGCTCGGGGCAGCGCCAGAACCAGTGTCCGAAGGGGTTTGCGCAGTTGTTGTCGCAGCTGGCATTTGGGCACTTGGTATAGTGGTGGTCATCAGTTTGGCAGCGGCGACATTGGAAGGTGGTCGAAGCAGGCATGT